CTTAGGGCAATGCTTTGGGAATGGGGATAACTTGTTCTTGCTCTTTCTGCCCAGGATAGTCCCACCCTAAATACATTAAATACTCTGTAAGAAGCACAGCAGCCAGCATCAATTATCAACATCCTGCCAAAAAAGATTAACCAGCACTACCTTAATGAAGAGGAAGAAATATATTTGGATTTCCTCTTCCAAGTTTTTTATTAACATTTTCTTGTTTATCACATCACAAAGCTCATTATGATGGAATTTTTGAGCTCTCTGTCTTAAGGAACTGTAGGGAAACTATTTGTTCATCACATGTGTAAGGCATGTAAGGAAACAGTAGGATAATTGTGCCAGTGAAACTGCTTCCAAATAAATTCACTTGAAAGGAAAACTGGACCACAATCAAGTACATGTATGGGGAAGAATGAAGCTTCACAAATTAATGCCAATCTAGAAAAATAATGGTACACAAATATGTTGCACAGACATTTGTGTAATGCTTTTAAATTAATGAAAATAAAGAGATATAAGCTATGAAAGGAGGCAATGGGAGGAGAAAGCAAGCAAGGAGAATAAGGGGAAAAAAGCTCGTGTTTCCTTTAAAGGAGGACATATATAGAAAGGCTCTGGAAAGGACAGAGCAACCCAAAAGACCTGGGCAGACATGACATGGAAATATGGCAAGAGTTGATTTTAATGGCTAAACCAGTGTCAAAGAAGGAGAACAGGGAAAAAAGGGAAGAGACACATGCCTGGTGTAATGCAGGCTGGGCTACAATTACACCCTGCCATTCAGCACATTTTTGGGGAAGACAGCAGCAGTGGGCCCTACCACAACACACATTAGCAGTGCAAGGTGCTGGGTTATGCACAGCTCTACTAGCACTTCACAAAGCCCCATAGAAGGTGGTGCATTTTAAGAAATGATCAGGCAGTGCTGGAACTTAACTTGTCACATCTTTGTGAAGAAGAGATGCCAACCTCGAGGCTGCACATAGTCAAATTTTTGTTCCTAGAAGCAGGATAGCTAACAAAACAGGTACAATTTAAATCTGAGCATCTCAAGCAAGCAAAGGGATTCTGTCAGCTGCAGGGCAAAGGCGTGATAAAGGCTATCTAGTCTCCAAAGCAAAACATTGACAGCTTCTATGCCTCACCTTACTTGCTCATTGAGCAAGTATCACTGTCCTATATGAGCATGAGAGACTTAATTCACAGAAAATTACAAACACTGAGTATATCCAAGCTACTGAACATGAGCCCAAGTTATTCCTGGTACAGTCAGTGCTGTTCTGCTGTTACTTGCAACATGAGCAATTTTCTTAGTAAATGTTGTCTAAGATCAGAATCAATCCATGCCACGGGTAATGAAAATTTCAGTGAAAACAGGCATTGCAAGTTATCACTGGCTGCAGCCCTAACCTCTGCTGTTTGTCAATCCTCAAAATATTTCCTCATTCAGATCCCAGTGGTCATAATGAAAAGACTCATCCATCTTTATTACTTCAAAGAGAATGTATTACCATCTAAAATGTCACTTAATTTTCAACACCAACTATGTATTTCCTGGTGAAAAACCTACTTGGAAACCATATCCACAGCACACAGAAAAGATTATTAATATCCAATCAAATGTAACAGTTTTATCCTAACGAATATTTTGTTATCACCACTCACTATGATTTATTGTGATCTATAAAGCTCCTGTTCTCTCCATCCTAAAGAAAAAAAGACTATCTTTATAAAATTAATGTGCTCCCACAGCAAAATTATATTTTTGACTATTTTCAAAAAAGATGAAAATATCATTATGAAACATCACAAATCATGCCTCCTAATAGAAATCTTGGTCTGTTGTGGACTCTGAAATGGCCCATGTGGAATGGCTCATAATTATGGTTCCCATTTATCTCTACTGTGTTGTTCAGCTCAGCTGCAAAGGAAAATTCTCTTGCAGTTATAGCTCCTGGGCCAGACCCTCAGGAGGAGAAGCCAGCACAGCTCCATTAACCAGCTCTTTCCCACAGCATTTCCCTGGGAACTGTTAGGGACACCACATTAGGAGTGAGCTCTCACACAACAGCTGCTGCCCATTGGGCTCAAGTTGCTTGGTCTCTCCCATTGACAACAGCACATCAGCAAAAAAATTAAACAAAGGCAGCAATAATACCATTTCCAGCCATGCAAATGTTGTGTTATACACCTCAAAATCACACAACTCTCCCCCCTGTCCCTATTGCCCAGCCAAGCAATGCTTAAGAATGGTCCCTGCCTCAAGCTAGCTCACAAGAAACGGGTTGGAATGCAGCTCCCTGGTCTGGTGGGTGCAAGAGCTTAGTAACATGAACACAGGCAACTACATACCATGGCTGCAGGGCCAGAAATGGTTGCTGTGCATGTTCAAATATAGATATAGGTTCTCTACCCTGGCAGTTAATCACTATTTTTTGATTTTTCCATCTGCAAGAAAAGGAGGTAGAATTATTCCTTCGACTTTATTAGAATGGTTTGAGACCCTGAAGTGAAAGTCCCTATACCACTATAAAGGACTATTAATAAAGAAAACTGTAACGTTGTTTCAGTACATCACAAGCAAATTTGATTTTTAAAATGACAGCTGACTACTGAAGTATTGATTCCAATTCACCACCTGACAAAATAGCATAAACCTCCTCCAAACTCAATGCAAATGCATGGACCATTGCTTCTTCTCAAAGAAAATGAAGTCTAATTTTACTGTCCCTCAGATTTATTTAAAATGGAGCAAAAATAAGAGAGATAACAGCTACTAACTGGTGTTTCAAAACTAAGCACAAAGAAAATCACAAATTTCGGTACTCAGTCTCTCAGCATCATAGAATTATGTATTTTTCTTTATAGAAAAGCAAAGAAATTACTTCCAATGGTCATATTTTAAAATAAGAAATCACTATACAGTGCCTATGAATTGTTCAAGGTAATGCAGCGCATGTAATATCATAAGAAAGTGCAACCATCCTGAAAACTTTATTTCTTGGCCTTAAAAATGCACTCTCTGCAAGAATATTAATTTTATAAACAAAACTTCCCATAAAAGTACTTTACATTACCTGGCAAGAACATCAGAAGGAGCTTAAAGGGCCAAGACTATATAAAAGAATAATTATGGTTAAGAACAGACTAAACACTTTCCATATGGCAAATGATACCAAAAGCTACTCCCATTAAAAGGGAAGGCAGCAATACCAAGTGCACCATATTTCTTTACTACAGCATTTTTTAAAGGAAACGCTTAAAAGCAGGCTGTGACACACAGTGGTGTCCCAAAGCACTGCCAGCTTCCCTCTGCTATGTGCCAGCTCTTCTCCAGCACTTCCCAGCCCACAGCACACTACAGGAGGGATGCACCAACTCACCACCAAGGGCAAATCTGGTGCTCAGCTGCTAACCCCCACGTGATGGGTCTAATCCAATGCACTCAATGTTTCCTTGGGAGCTTTTTTCCTCTTGCCCATTAAAAAGTAGTTTGGGAACTTCTGGCAAAGAGGCAGTACAGGAATTTTGGGAAATGTGACTTGGACCAACACATTAAGACATCACAGCAAGATTGATGAGTGCATGTCTAAGCTTTCACTTTTCAGCTATGACATCTTAACTGTGGTAATCTCCAATTTCCTCTCCAACTAGTTCTACTTCCAATAGCTGCTGGTTTGTTAACAGATTTTATCAGAACAGCTCAAGACAATCTTGAGGCACAGCTTTGCAAAACGAGCATGAAAGGAAAAGAAGCAACTCTGCTCCTACTTTTTTGAAGCGTTTAGATTTTTCTGCACACATCCTGACATCTGGAATTAACGCTACACCCTCTAAGCAGTATTTCTAAGAGTGGAGTTAAACACTTACTTAGTTACATGATTCCCAGGAAAATACCTTCTGCAGTGAGTTATCTCTAGAAGTTAAGACCAAAAAAAAATTAAAGCCGTCATCAGGATAACTAGGGCCAGACTAAAACCCCTAAACCTTTTAACTCCCACCTGATGTGGTGGCTATTCCCAGAAACCTGCCCCTTTGGCAACAGCAGAAGTAAGCATGAGTGCCACTTCAGTTCTCCATAAAGCAGCTGGTATTTGAGTTAATGGAGATGTAGGCAGTGGCAGAAGACTTTTGCTTTCCCAGGTTATTACAGTTCCCTCATTTGGAATCCCAATTTTATCATAATACCGTTTTTAAATACAAAAATAGGTAGGTGTGATCACAGACCATTCACACAGCCTGCAAATAACACCTTCCCTGCACAGTGGGTGACCCAGCCATGCACTTAGTTACCTTCTGCTGGCATAGCTCCACAAAAGTCAGGGGAGTGATGATGAATTAAGTCAACTGAGGAAAACGGTCACAGGTTCTCATTGAAATATGTAAGAAAAAATAGCCTTTAAAAAGAAAAACAAGAAAAAAACCCAAACAAAGCTAACACAACTGGAATGCCCCCATTCCTCAATCTATTTAAATACAGACAGAAAGCTTACTTAAACTTGGGGTACAGGAAGTAAAAGGAGTCTGTCTTACTAGCAAAGGCCAGAGGGTGAGTAAAGGAAGCTGCTGTGCTGATACTATGCAGCTGCAGGTGTGCTGCAGCCTATCAGCATTGCAGCTCCACAGGCAAACACTGCCCACTTTACTTTCTCCAAGATTTTTAAGCTGTTGTGTAAAAAAAAATAAAAAATTAAAAAAAAAAAATCATTCATTAGCTCACAGCTTGTCTTCAAAAACAGGTATTTATTTCAAAAGCTGAGGATAAGGCTGAGAGCCCTGAAGGCACAGAGGACAGTAACAATGAGTGATGCTACAGAAGATGCTGTGGTGCAAAAGGGTCTTTCAAACCTGCTGGGGGTATGTTGCCTGCTGCCTGGCTTTAATTCCGTGCTAACATTGTCATTTACACCTCTGATGTCAATAATACTGTATACTAATTCCCCCAAGTCCTGAATTCTCAGACACCTTGCTGGTGCTTTAGCAAGTAGTAAGCTAGATTGTGGTTCTATGTCCTGTGAAAAGGGACAATTCTTATTGGAATGGTGAGATTCTGTGTTGGAAATGGGATTCACTGAGTGTATATTGCTAGGCACTAGTGACATTTCTAGCCCCAGAATTTGCACATGTTGGCTTGAGTACAAAATCTGCATGGGACCTTTTGTTTGTTGTGCTCAGAGACAGGAGGCAGTCAGGCCTGCCTTCCCGTCCTCTGGTAAAGGTAAAGTAGATGATGGAGAAGATGTTAGAAAGAGATTCACTTTCTCCTCTACTGTGTCTCTGCTAAGCAGACAATAAGAAATGCCCAGAGATGCATGCAACTATGCCTCTAGTCTTCAATCAAACAGCCAATGTCTAATGAACTTAAAATGCTGTCACCACTGTACTTCATTTCTGACCTGGGCTTTTCAGGCAGCAGAGGTCTCATGGATGTTATCCAAGTTGTTTTTATTTGCACAAGCCAGATCTTCAATTCTAAGTGCATTACACAACCTATGCTTAAAGTGATTCACCATCACTGTAGTCTTCCTGGCTTCCTTCACTTTCAAAAGCAGTTATTTTCCTGACATGATGTAAAGTTTTTTCTTACCTGAAGAAATCACCTTGTCTACTGCAATGTCTAATTCCACCAACACAAGTACAAAATGACTGAGGTGAAAAGATCTGTTAAGTTAGTTATTTTGTGATTTCTATTTAATTTAACCCTATGAAAGTGGGTTAGGTCAGAGTACCTCGAATGCTTAGTTAATGATCCACATATAAGCATTGCCATCCCCAAGAACATTTCTGAACAGGGTGTACTATGGAGTTAAAAAAATAAGCAATTTCTATTACTGAGTTGTGTTTTAAATTCCAGACTGGCCAGTCATGATAAAATACAGAGACAGCTTAAAAATCATCTTCTGATAAAGAAGGAAAAAAAAAAAAAAAGTAATGTTTCAAAGTCTGTTCTTCAAAAACTACCTCTCCCTCAAGAGAAGCTATTCTGTTATTGTGAAAGTGCCAAATGAAGAATCCAGCCCAGATGCAATCAATGCCTTGGCCAACATACCACAGCTTCCCCAGCTTCCCCACTTGTAAAACAGTTTTCCCCAGTTCCTTTTTATCACTCACGTTTCTCTTGGCTTTTTAAATTTTTACTGAGTCTGCACTGCAGGTACACCAGAAAAGCTCTGATCTGTGCTGCACCTCCAAGCACTATTCTATCACATATAAGACCATTCTGAAACAACTCTCCTGTAATTAAAGCATGTCTCTGAAGCACCTGTAAAACCTTACAACCAGGCAAGCATTTTAATTGACTGATGCTATAGCTGAGTTTGCATCTATTATCTACATTCTACTTCATGTAAAGTCACAAGACTGATACAAGCTTCCAATGGAAAAGTGAGGTCTTATTCCACATGACATTATACTACAGTAGATATACAGATCTCAAAAGATCTGGATAGGAAAATACATTCTGGGACTGTAAGAAAGGCTGAAGTACCATGTAACTAATATCAGCTCACAAAGGTCAGGTGTAAGAAAGATACAATAAAGTGATATAACAGGTAAATTACTGTATCTATGGAGATTTTCTACTGAACAAAATTAGTCATGCTAGTAGTGATAATTTCATACTAAAAAGAATTTTTTCCATATTTAAAGTTGATTGAAAGATACTTTTTTTTCTAAGTACACTAAATTATCATGTAATCCAGACCATTTCTAAGTCACTCTAAAGGAACTGAGCCCTGCAAGTAAATTTGTTATATTTCTGCTATATTAAATAAGGCGTTTGTGACTGGGAATGTATCTTGAGGCTCCATTCTGCTGAACTGCACTGCTTTCCTGGCAATGAGCCGAGGAAGGTCAGAGCCTGTAAGAAGGTCTACTCCAGAAGAATGTAACCCCAATCCTTTACCCAGCAGCCCTGCCACTACACATATTGGAGTCACTCGATAAGTGAAGAGCTCACACAAATAATCTTTGCTTTTCTACTGAGCAACATGCATTTCCAGTTTCTCCTCCAGTATCCACAGCTGTGCAGCAAATGCAGGGCACTTCATTTATCAGAAGATGACAGTGCTGACTGAGGTAGTACAATCAGGCAGCCTCTTCCATCTGTTAAATATATGCCTCTATTCCCTCTTAACTTTCTTTTTCCTTTTGCAGGGAGGAGAAGCACAAGTAGTTTTATGCTAAATATTTTGGCCATGTATACAATTTTTGCCTTATTCTTCTTTAACTGACAAGTCAAATTCCCCATGTCAGACCAGCATAGCCATTTATGCCACTCATTGTTTGCTCACAAAAGGATCTACTGAGAATATAATACAGTATTGTCAGATCAGAATGACAGTTGATGATAATGCAAGTTCCTCTGTATTCTGGTTGCCAATATTATAGTCTAACACTTATTGAGGTTTAATGCTCAAGGGAAAAAAGAGAGTGAGGCTCTTACTTCAAACTGCAGCTAGATCAAGTTTAGGAAGAGCATACCTCAATGAAAATGAGTTAATTTAAAAAAAAACTCCCCAAATTTGGAAGAAATCGTGAAAGAGAGATGTATGATAAGTTCTGACGATCAATGACAAACTCTCAATACACACAAGCGTCTTTCAAGCAATATGTTTTATGATTTTGCTGATATTGGTTCACAAGGAGAAAAACAAATCGGCTCTCAGTGCCACTTCAGAACCCTAATTCAGTCTACAAATGTAGCTTAAATTTGTGGCTGGTGCCACTATAAGGTAATAAAGGCTGAGATTTATCATTCAACCTACAATGGATTCAGATCACATTACGATCCCTTCTCAGAATGGTAGGATTATTTTTTTTTGTGAGGGACTAGAAACTTCCTTAGCTCTTGAATTTACTGCCAGTTGCTCTGTAGGAAAAAAGCAGCATAGTAAGTAAAAACAAACCAAGAGACTCTGCCTCTGCAGTGGGCTGGCTGTTCCACAGCCTCTGCTCAAAGCTTTCTCTCTGTTTCCATTCTTTTCATTTGCAATTACTCCTCTGGCAAACGCAACATAACCAAGTTCTCTTATAAACCAAAAATATTTAAAGGGAACAAAGCTGGGAAGAGAGTAAGAAGCATGTGGCTCGATTATCTACATTTTTACAAACTATAAGTGTCAACTGTTTCTTTTCCTATTTTCCTTTCCACTCTGGGGTTACAGCCACTCCTTTTGCCTATAAACGCCCAACTGGTGAATGAGGTCACTTTTTAGAAAGAGAAACCTCAGAAAGCCTAACCCCTAAGAACGTCTTCCTGGATACTAATTCTGTTCAATCTTCTAATAGCAGACAGAAACAATGTGCTTGAGAGAGATTATTGGCTCCAGATAAAGGGATTTCAGGAATCCTTGCAATGAACCATAGAGGAAGAAACACTGGGATCTGGAACAACACTCATAAATTTGATATTAAGAATAATTAAGATATGAAGAACATTATCATCACATCATTGGGGTATGTTCTAAAACAGTGGTATGTGGAAGGGGATCCATCTGTTGCTAAGCAAAAATCATAAATATCTAAAACCAAATATATATCATCAGTTTAACTTCCCTGGGCCACATTCAGCAGTGTGTTTACTTATTCATTTTTTTCTATGAGACATTTCCATCTTTCTCTCCGTACTGACAAAACAAACAGCAAGAATTATGAAACATGAGTCAAAGCTGAAGTTTAAAGCATACAAAATTTTATCTATCTTCTGAGGAAGGCTACTCAGGCAAGTCAGGCCCTGATACAAAGCTATTAACTTGGGTGAAGAGCATGGTTGTAATGGAAATATTCTAGTTGTTTTGCACAGTAGGGTGGAAAAAAGCTTACTCTTAGGAAAATTCAGCCAAGGCTGTCCTGCTTTACTGCAATTTTATGCTTATGTTTCTCATTATCAGAAGAGATTCAACACCCACAGGATTAGTTCCCCTTCTCCATTAGCCTGTCTTTAAAGATTGGGACAATAAATACATAATAAACTGTGGCACACTATAAACAAGCCCTTCCATCTCTTCAGTTCATTTTGGCCTTCTCCATTTCAGCTTCTAAGAATGCAGGTACTTTCTACCTGCAAGCCATCTCTGCTGAGAAAGCAGTGGTACTGAAAGCTAGCAATATCTGGGCTGCAGCTGGAAGCAGACCCTGCATTTTCCACGTGCTCCTTCAGTATATTTCATGCCACAGGTATGACCACAAAGGAAAGATATCAAGACTCAGTTTAGTGGAGGGTACTATTAAAAGGTTGACTTTTGTAAACAGCTATAATTCAGTATATACTTTCTGAATACAAACTTAGGGACCCTCTCTTACGGACAGAACGGGGTTAATTTTTCTCCCATAGGAGAAAAAGAAAGCATGGAAGACAAATCTTAGATCATTTACATTCATCAGCAAATTTTTATCACCAGGAACATCACACGGCTGCAGTCATCCCTCCCCCAGGTTAATGCTGCCTGAGCAGCACAATGTTTATGGGCACCTGGGTAAGCTGGGTGTTCATCTCTAAACAAAGTAATAAATCTTATAATGTGTGATACTCTTACCTATGCACACACAATTTCTTTTTGGAAATTAAATCATCCTAACTACATGTACAGTTTCACCTTCATGTACAGGTTACCCCAGAAGTCTGATAACAACCAGCCCAGCCCTGGCTTCATGCAGTGCTTTCCAAATGCCTCACAGACCACCATCAGGCCACAATGCTCCCAGTTGCATTTCTTTAGATGTCCCAACTCATGTTTTCCTTCTAATCAAGTGACAGAATTTGATGATGTGGCACACAGTTAGTTTTAATTGACAAAGCCAGTGAACATATCAGCATCATACGGCTTCCGCACTCTGTGTAAACCAACCAGCTCTTTGGAAACATACTTGATATTTAGTACAGGTCTTGCTGAGCTTCTTGTCAACACTTCCTTCTCTTCAGCACTGCTCTCAAACCATTCTCCACCCAGCCTGCAGCTGTGCTTAGGATTGCCCTGACCAACATGCAGGACCCTTATATTTGACCTTACTGAACTTGATGAGGTTGGCATTAGCCCAGCTCTCAAGTCTGTCAAGGTCCCTCTGGATGGCATCCCTTCCCTCCAGCATGTCAACTGCACCACACATATGTGCACCTCAGGCTTAAAACAAATGGTTCTTTAAGCTTATATTCCTAGGCAGCTTGAAGAAAAAGAGGTGTGTCATTTTCAAAGCAAATTTCTCAGGATAAGACTGGCCATGCTTTTGCTCTGGAAATAACAGAACTAATAACATTCTCTAATATTACTGAGGATGACTAACATCAGGTTTTTGATAAGTTCCAAAGTGTGCACATTGCAAAATAGCTGTCTGCAGAAACTCAAGCCAGAAATGACTGTGTGGAAATGGAAAACTGATGTGTCTCACTGAACCTTTAGCAAGACTCTAAATATGAGGAATCTAACAATATCTTGCAAAGAGTTTAATTAATACTTTCTTTTAGCACAAATATTACTTTGCCTTACTACATGATATTATTAGCTTCCCACTGTGGGTAATTTTTATGCCCTAGGCATTCAGCTTTAAGCAGTTCTGTGAATGGCTCAGCTTGACCAATTATAAAATAGGAGAAATGTGTATGTGCAGGCTCAATTTAGCACACAATTAGTATTTGTTTTCTTCAATAATAGCTAAATTTTCCTCATACATAACATGCATATACAGCAAACTCTGGGGAAAAATACTTCAGAAACTGTCCTTTTTATTTTTTTTAATAATCACAAACCTGTGGGACAAAGCTCAAGCTCATCCATGAGCCCTTTCTCATTCACAGTCCAGCCAAGCTTAATGAGAATTTTCATGTACACAAATATTGTTAGGACATAAAGCTGTCAGTAGTTCTCTTCACTACTGGATATATTCACACTCTCCCACTCCTCATTGCTCCCCTGTCATTTATGTCTCAGTCCATATTTCATACCCTTTTGTGGCCTGTCCAGTGACGCTCACCTGGCTGCATCCAGTTCTGCCCGTGGCTGCATGGATGTAGTCCCCACAGGCTTTCCAAAAGCAGAGGACGAAGAGGAGCACAAGACTGCTAACCTCTCAGCACCAGCCAGGCAAAACCTATGCTGGGCTGTGTTCTGACCATCATTGCCCATTGTACTCATACATCATTTACCAGCATATAAACTGCTTCCAGTTAATAGAAGTTCTGACATTTTTCATCTATGACCATATAGTCCGAGAAGCTCAACATGATAAAATTTTCCCCAAGCAGTCTTTCAGAAAATGGAAGTATTTATTGCCAACATGAATTAAAATGGCCAAATGCATAGGATTTTTTGTTAAATAGTTTTTATTGATAAAGCTTAATATGTCTTAGTATGTCTGTTTACTTCAGTTTACGGTAATCACTTAATTCTTCTCTGTCACACCCAGAAAGATATTTTAAAGCATAAGATTTCTAGTGTGCTCTGAACCTCACACAGAATTGATTTCAGCACATACAGTACTACTGGTGTCTGATGCTGATGAATTACCCTGCTAGTGAAACACAATTTCTACTACATCAACAAATAGTTTGCTATAAAGGCCATAAGATTCACTCGGTTCCTACAACAAAAGCTCCCATTTCATCTTCATTAATCCTTGTGAAATTCGATAGATAAGAGAAAAATTCCTGCTAGCTACCCTTATGGTACTCTCAACCATTTAGAATGAAAGATAAAAAAAAACTCAACCACCAAACCAACAGAAGTTAGTTTAAGCTGAGAGCCCCAGAGGAGTCTGAGGTCACTATTCAAAACTCTTGTCTCTTATGAAAATGGAAAACTATGCATTCACCTACTAATCTCCCAACACAGATTACTGAAAAGTAATTCTTCCAAGTCCTGAGAACACCACAGATAGAGACCCCCAAAATCTCCTTCAGAACAAAAGAGAAGTACCCAATTTGAACACAACACTGTCTTTCAATTGGATTTTGAATATTTTTAATTCTATTTTCTCATATTTTAAACCTTACAATAGTCCAGTTTTTAAACATTATTATTCTGCTTTAACAAACAAACAAACAAAAAAAAAACACCAAAAACCAAACAAACCCCCCTAAAACACAAACCCAAACCACGACAAAACCAAACACCAAAAAATAACATAGAAAAGAAAATAAAAAATTAACAAAA